TCAAAGTCGTCACAGATCATGCGAGCTTGAAGTGGCTTATGAATCAGCGTGATTTATCGGGGCGATTGGCTAGGTGGTCACTTAAGCTGCAGGGTTTTCATTTCTCTATTGAACACCGAAAGGGAAAGGACAATGTGGTTCCTGACGCGTTGTCTAGAGTTCATGAGGGCGAGGAATTCATAAATTCAATTGAAATTGAAAACGTTCCGACAATTGACCTTGACTCGGACGAATTTGATTCTGACGAATATTCTAAATTGCGTGAATGTATTCAAAATTCAAATTTACCGGACTTCAAAATTATTGGCAAATATGTTTACAAAAGGACAGAGTTTTCGAATGGTTTAACTGACGAATCAAATTTGTGGAAGTTATATATACCTACTGGACTTAGACAAAATATAATTTTTTCGGCACATGACTTACCAAAATCTTCACACGGCGGAATTACAAAAACATTAGAACGCATAAGACGTTACTTCTTTTGGCCACGACTTGTAACTGACGTTAAGGACTACATTCAAAATTGCGACTTATGAAAGACGTCTAAAACACCGACAACTATTTTGAGAACTCCACTAGGACAAATTGTTAAGACGGACCGACCATTTCAAAGATTGTATGTTGACCTCATAGGACCATTACCAAGGACAAGGACGGGAAATATAGGAATATTAATAGTACTTGACCATTTTTCCAAATTCACGTTTCTGAAACCATTACGAAAATTTACTTCTAAGGACATAATAAATTATTTACAAAAGGACATATTTGACTGTTATGGGGTTCCTGAGGTATTGGTGTCAGATAACGGATCCCAGTTTAAATGTAAAGATTTTGAAAACTTTTTGAAGAAGAACGGAGTGAACCATATGTTAACAGCTGTGTACAGTCCTCAGGCTAACGCGTCAACCGTTCCATTAATGAGGCTTTGAGGTCTTATATTCGAAAGGATCAGCGAGAATGGGATCAGTATATTAGCAGCATTAACTGCGCTCTTCGAAATAGCATACACCAATCCTTGGGAAAGACACCATATCAAGTAATATTCGGACAAACTATGGTTACACATGGTGAGGACTACAAACTTTTGGCGAAATTAGACATTCTAGCGGACTCAGATATATATTTAGAACGACAAGACAATTTTTCATTGATTCGGGACTCAATACGTGACTACATGCGAAAAGCTTACGAGAAGAATGCACGAACATACAATTTACGAACAAGAACGAAAGACTATGAAATTGGACAGGAAGTAATTCGGAGAAATTTTACGCAAAGTTCCAAGATCGAAAATTTTAATTCAAAATTAGCTCCGGTTGGTATTCGCGCCAAAATTATTCGAAAAGTAGGACATGTAAATTATGAGTTACAGGATTTGGACGGTGGAAGTAAGGGCGTATATCACGCAAAGGACATATGGACATAACACAAGGACATTTAACGGATAATATTTATAATTTTTGGATGGAAATTTCGAATTTAAGAATCTATTTCGCCCTTTTACAGAACCAGTCTGTCGTACTTTTGGTGTTCTTATACTGTTTCTGTTTTGTGAGGCCGTGCGACTTTAATTTGAGAAGTATACTTTGTTGAAAATAATTTTAATTTTATATTTTGATCAGAGTATGGTTTTGTTTTGGTTGTCAGATAAAATGAAAAATAAAGGGACTTTTGAAAATTTGTTTGTTTGAGAAAGACGTAAAAAAAAAAAAAAGAAAAAATAAAAAATAATAATTTTTTTTGAAATTACAAATTGAGAAAAGGAGAACAAAAAGGAAAATTTTAAAATTTTTTACGAGAAGAGCCAAGACAGGAGATCTTTTCAAATTTTTCCTTGGGCTATTGTGACGAATTGATAAGAATAATTTATCACTTAACTTTTGGGCCAGGGTCAGCAGCTAGACAAGCAAACCACAACATCTAATCTAGTTTCAGACGTATGAGATAGATGTGCTCATAATTATTTTGCTGCTTTGAGTTACTTTAATTGATTAAATTTTTATCAGAATATTGTAATTTTTTTTTTAATTCTTAGATTTTTTTAATTTACATAATTTTAACTTTTAAATAAATGTTTCAAATTTTGTTTGACATTAGATTTATTTTTTTCACTTTCTTTAAATTCAATTTCTTGCTTTATTGTTATTGTTATTAGATTATGAATTTTGTTATTGAAAATTTTAATATATACATTTCTTACTTTGAATTAAATATTTCTTTAATATGGATTTCTAATTTATTTAATTAATTCGCGAAAAATGTAGACCTGTTTAGTTAGAAAAGTAAATTGGGCTATTCATGGAATTTATTTTGAATAGCATAGGTTAAGGGTGGGTTAAGAGAGGAGTGAGTAGAATTTCAGCTAATACTTATTCCGAACCAGGACTCATTTACATTCATCACTATTTAGGATTTTTCTCTCTCTCGAAATTGTTATAGTCGTTTCTAGGGTTTGTTTGCTACTATATTTTTTTTATTTTTGAGATAACGAACCGCCTTATCTTATCCGAGGAAAAGATCCCCCCCATTATCCCTGAGCACGGCCGGACTGATTAGTAGCACTCTCCTTTGAATGATAAGGCTCGTCGGGAAATGGTTCGTTACACCCTTCAGAAAATTACTTAAACGATCATTACTGGCTTAAAAATATGAGTTATGAAATACGGTTATGAAATTCGCTCCGAATTTCATGCGGAATGTGTCGGTAATACACAAAAGGTTCCCTTCAGGAAAGAGTTTTGGCTAATAAACTACGAGTGTTCCTTATTTAAAATACGAGTATAGCCCTGAATGTACAAAATTTTATGAGTATCGGTTCATAATTGAGGCTCACGGTTTAAGAATTGAAATAAAATATATATTTTTTTTGATACCCACCATCAAAAAAGATGAGGGGTATATTAATTTTGTCATTCCGTTTGTAACACATCGAAATATTGGACATAGACCCACAAAAGTATATATATGTTCTGGGTCTTCATTAAATTCTAAGACGATCTAGCCATGTCTGTCCGTCTGTCTGTCTGTTGAAAGCACGATAGAAGCCCAATGGAAAGAGCTAGAGGGTTGAAATTTCACATAAATATTTCTTATAGGTAAGGTTTGTTTGGTATTGAAAATGGGCAATATCGGTCCACATTTTCGGATAGCCCCCATACAAGTGGCCCCTCGAAAAGCAGCTTTAACAGCCATAACTTGTTTAAAAATATAGCGATGAAATTCGACATAAGTAAGTTTCTTATGATCAAAAATCACTATGCAAAATTTTATGAGGATCGGTCCATGATTGACCCTACCCCCCATATAAGGTCCCCTTCAGAACGTGACTGCAACGCTCATTAATAGCTTAAAAATACGAGTGTAGCGATGAAATTCGACACAAATAAATTTAATACGAACCAAATTCTGTCTACCAAATTTTATGAGGATCGACCCATAATTAACCCTACCCCACTATATAAGGTCCCCTTCAGAAAATTACTTTAACGCTTATAACTGGCCTAAAAAATACGAGTATATAGATGAAATTCGACATAAGTAAGTTTCATTCGAGTCAAACGAGGTTTGATGGTGGGTATATAAGATTCGGCATAGCCGAATATAACACTCTTACTTGTTTAACTTAAGAATAAGATTTTTTCAATATTTGGCGCTTAATTTTCCCCTATTTTTCAAAATGGACGTTTTTGTTGCCTTTTTTGCTCAAATGAAAGCTTATAACATTTTCTTTAAGAGCTTTGTGGATACTTAGTGGGATGTGAGTGGGATATCTGTAAAAAAATATTTTGGTGTATATAAAATGTCGCCAAATGGTTGGAATTTTGACAAAATAATTATTACAGATTCAAAAACTTTCGTTGAAGATATGATATCACAATTTTAAAAATATCGTGTTAAGCATGTTTAATTTAATTTGCCTAATTTATTGTGGGATTTTTGTCCAATGTTCGGCTGTTAGTTCAATGTCCAGAATCTGCCCTTTCCTTAAATCTCATAGAAACATCTTAAATATAGCTGAAACTTTCTATAGGTAAGGTTTGTTTGGTATTGAAAATGGGCAATATCGGTCCACATTTTCGGATAGCCCCCATACAAGTGGCCCCTCGAAAAGCAGCTTTAACAGCCATAACTTGTTTAAAAATATAGCGATGAAATTCGACATAAGTAAGTTTCTTATGATCAAAAATCACTATGCAAAATTTTATGAGGATCGGTCCATGATTGACCCTACCCCCCATATAAGGTCCCCTTCAGAACGTGACTGCAACGCTCATTAATAGCTTAAAAATACGAGTGTAGCGATGAAATTCGACACAAATAAATTTAATACGAACCAAATTCTGTCTACCAAATTTTATGAGGATCGACCCATAATTAACCCTACCCCACTATATAAGGTCCCCTTCAGAAAATTACTTTAACGCTTATAACTGGCCTAAAAAATACGAGTATATAGATGAAATTCGACATAAGTAAGTTTCATTCGAGTCAAACGAGGTTTGATGGTGGGTATATAAGATTCGGCATAGCCGAATATAACACTCTTACTTGTTTAACTTAAGAATAAGATTTTTTCAATATTTGGCGCTTAATTTTCCCCTATTTTTCAAAATGGACGTTTTTGTTGCCTTTTTTGCTCAAATGAAAGCTTATAACATTTTCTTTAAGAGCTTTGTGGATACTTAGTGGGATGTGAGTGGGATATCTGTAAAAAAATATTTTGGTGTATATAAAATGTCGCCAAATGGTTGGAATTTTGACAAAATAATTATTACAGATTCAAAAACTTTCGTTGAAGATATGATATCACAATTTTAAAAATATCGTGTTAAGCATGTTTAATTTAATTTGCCTAATTTATTGTGGGATTTTTGTCCAATGTTCGGCTGTTAGTTCAATGTCCAGAATCTGCCCTTTCCTTAAATCTCATAGAAACATCTTAAATATAGCTGAAACTTTCTACATACATATAATTGAAAATGCTATAATTTTTAGTTTTTATTTCGAAATAAAAAATGTTTAGTTTTTATTTTAAGTTGAAAATTACTTAAAAATTTCTATTAGAAAATCCACTCTACTCCAATTGTGTTTTAACGCTAAAATAGTTTTTTACATACTAATGGAAAAAGGGAATAAATAGTATTTTTAGTTTATAATACAAAATTACATGGTTTAGAATTAAAAAATAAAATAAATAAAAAATCACACTCTGGTAATTTAGTACTATTATATTATTAATATTAGTAGTTATGTACAGCTCATACATAGTCTGTTTTTATTTGCTATAACGATTAGCAGGCCGGAGATTTTGGAGCTGCCCAGTGGAACTATATGTTATAAGACGGTATATTTATGCTGTAACTTATTTGTGTGTGGTATCGATTCTGAAATACATACTATATATATGTATATGTATTTTATACGTATTTGTATATACATATATCCATACTTATATAGTATATATGTATACATATATAAAAGAGTCGAAATTATATCTATGTGTTATGTCAGCAATGGTATGAGTAGTAATTTGAGTATTTTTTGTGTACCTCTTCGAATAATATACCAATATCATGGACATCCACATTCATCGACCACCATTTTTGGAAGATCTCTTTTTATTATACCTTCATCGCCATAATATATAAGTGACATGCTGGAAAATTTTATTGGCGCACAGCATGGTTGCATGCCATTTAGAAGACCCATTTTACGATATTCTTCAATGAAGTGGGCATGGAATGTTTGAAAAGTATCTGGTGTACGATATGGACCAGTGCAATCGCCACGACAATAATTGGCAAAATATCCTCGAGGTGCTATGATCCAATCATCCCAGCCGAGGGCTTTAAATGAAACATAAAACGACTCTTTGCAACACTGACCGTGTAACGCTCCATTACAATTTATGGCGCGTCGACGAACCCGACGCTGTCTTCTAGCTTCGGTATGCAAAACTAAAAATGGACGGCTTGAATTCAAGAGATCTTTTTCATCTGAATTCGCTGGATTTCTTTGTCTTATGCCATCCTTATCTGCCACCAATATTGTTTGATTATATTGAAAATTAGTGTAGTTCTCGTAATTATGAGTAATATTGTAAAAATGTTTGCTATGCATTTTATTAATATTCGCATTACGCCTTTCATCCGCTATTCGACGTTCTCTAATGCTGGCATCCGCCTTGGCGGTATTGTCATTAAATAGATGTACTGTATACACCTTGCCACAACCTGTACAGTCAATAAGCAGTCTAAGCTTTTCACTTTCTCTCCGCGAATACCATTCCTTAACAGTTGTTGTAATATCAAACTTCTTCCATCCTAAGCGGGATGTGTCTACTTCAAATGATGCACAAAATTTAGCCACATGATCAAAACCCTGAAAATATAAATCTTAAATTTAGTATATATGCATGTACATATTGAACAAACTATACTTAAAATATTAAAATATTGAAATATTTTTACGAAATTGTAATTGAATTTAAGCCTAACGATTTTAATCAAATTATATATGTACATATAAGGGTCATTTCGTGAAAAGTGACCCAACTTTAAAAATCTATGTCTTCCGATGAAATTTGCACAAAGGTTAGTACTATTGGATAGTAGGCCCGACACAAATTTTCCGAAAAATTAAGCTTTTTTAAGACATTCCAAAACAATTTTTCACAAAACCTATGCGATATAATTTCATAAAAATCAGCACACAATTGTTTCTATATGAATGCTTGATACCTGATAAAAATGGGCGGAATCGGTCCACAATTTCCTACACATCCCTTACAAATGTCCTTATTCTCGGAAAATTCATTAATTGTTAATAACTTTCGGTAGAATGACAATATCATTAAAAAAAATTTTCTGAATCGGTCTATAATTGGCCGTAGCTCCCACACAAAGTCCCCTCTCGAAAATCACTTAAGCGCACATTACACATTACCAAATAATGATATCCATACAAAATTTTGCACAAATATTGCCTTTACATACAGAAATGACAAAATTTGGACAAATATTACTTTTGTATACCAAAATGTAATTTTAAAATTGTTTCACGATCGGTCCATATTTGGTCATAGCTCCCGTAGAAGATCTCCTTCAAAAAATCACTTAAACGCACATAACTTATTACCAAATAATGATATCCTTCCAAAATTTGGCACAAATATTAATTTAGTTTAGAAATATTTGATTTAAACAAAAATTCACGATCGGTCCATATTTGGTCTTAGCTCCCATATAAGGTCCCCTCCCAGATATCACTTAAATTTACATTACTCATTACCAAACAATGATATCCATGCAAAATTTGACGCAGACATTACTTTTGTGTACAAAATGTTGTTTTAAATTTGTTCACGATCGGTCCATAATATGGATCGATCGGTCCCATACAAAGCCTCTTCCGAAAATCACTTATTACCAAATAGCTATATATATACTTAGATACAAATTTTGAGAGAAATATAGCTTTTATTTACAAAAATATTACTCTAAAAACACTTTAACCGTATATAATTAATTGTAATTAATTATAATGCTGCGAAAAATCTTGCAATTGTAACAGATTTAAAATATTTAAATCTTTGCTTGTTCTATTAGAAAATATGGTTTCTCATATTTCCACAAATATTTTATCAACTAAAAGGTTATTAATATATAGAAGTAGCTGGTGGAGGGTATTTAAGATTCGGCTTAGCCGAATATAACACTCTAACTTGTTTCTATTAAAAAAAATAATTTTTGTAAAAATTTAATTTTATTTATTACTAGCTTAAAGTTAGTTACTAAAAAATTAGCTTAAAGATAACTCTTTATTAACTAACTTAAAGTTAGTTGCAGAAAAGTCAAGTAATAGTTTTCTTTTGTATTCCCTACTGTATTAATTAATTACATTTTAATTACATATATTTAAAATTTAACTACTAGTTATCTAAATTACATTTCGCTTTAATACAAGTTATTATATTAGTTCGTTAAAATTAATAGTTAATTATGCAGGGGAACTAATAATAACACCGGTATCCATAAAATTATGAATGATTTGTTCATTATTTCTATGATTCCCATTGATCCATATCTAAAATAAATTTTAAAATGTTATGTGTAATGTTAACTCTTAATCTATATATATAAAAATGAATGTGTGTTTGTTTGTATGTTTGTATGTTTGAACGTTATAGACTACTAAACGGCTGAACCGATTTTCTTGAAATTTTCACAGCATATTCCTGCATGTCTGGAATAGGTAATAGGCTACTTTTTATTTCGAAATTTCAAGTGGGCGATGAGCCACGCCTACATTAAGAAAATATAAAATCCGTATATTTTAGATAATATAACAGTTAGAGTCCTCAAATTTTGTCGGAGCCACTTTAGTGTCAATATGATCATTTAGGACAAAAAGTAGGCGGACTAGCATTAGGGGGCGTGGTACCTCCCATATAAATTAAATACAAAAATTCGTTTATCTGGGAAACTAATAGAACTAAATTCTTAAAATTTAGCACGAAGAACTTTAACATCCATATAAACATTTTGGGTAATAAATTGGCGGACTACCCATGAGGGGAGCGGCACCTCCCATATTAATTAAATACAAAAATTCGTTTATCTGGGAAACTAATAGAACTAAATTCTTAAAATTTTGCACAAAGAACTTTAACATCCATATAAACATTTTGGGTAAAAAATTGGCGGACTACCCATGAGGGGAGCAGCACCTCCCATATTAATTAAAAACAAAAATTCGTTTATCTGGGAAACTAATAGAACTAAATTCTTAAAATTTTGCACGAAGAACTTTAATATTCATCTGAACATTTTTAAGGAAAAAAGAGCGGACTTTCATCTGGGGGGCTTGGAGCCCCCATATGAATAAAATAGAAAAATTCGTATATCTGAGAAACAATTAGAGCTAGAATCATTAAATTTTACTTGAAGAACTTTGACATTCACCTGAACATTTAGAATATAACGGGCGGACTTCCAATGGGTTACTTGGTACCTCCCATATGAATTAAATACAAAATTTCGTTTAACTGGGAAACTAATAGAACTAGATTCTTCAAATTTTGAACAAATTATTTTAATAATCATCTGAATATTTTGGAGGAAAAAGGGCGGACTTTCATCCGGGGGGCTTGAAGCCCCCACATGAATTAAATTCGTATATCTGAGAAACTATTAGAGCTAGAATCTTAAAATTTTACATGAAGAACTTTGACATTCATGTGAACATTTAGAGAATAACGGGCGGACTTTCAATGGGGGGCTTGGCACCACATATATGAATTAAATACAAAATTTCGTGCATCTTGGAAACTCTTATATTATTCAAATTTTTTGTAGATAGATAGAAATTGGCGATAGATAGAAACTGGCGAACTTGCAATAATTTGCTTGACATCTTTTATATGTAACATATAATAAATCTGGTATTTATTTATACATATTCCTTTTAGGGTAGCAAAGCACACTGGGTATAGCTAGTCTATATATATAAAATTCTAACGTTACTGACTGACTGATTGACTGATTCATCATCGCCTAAACGGTTAAAGCTAAAGAGCTGAAATTTGGACAGGGGGTTGGTCTCCCACCAAATAGATCCACTAAGACGGGATTTTTGGAAATTCGAATGTTTAGGGGGTAAAAAAGGGTAAAAACGGGTAAAATCGGTAACCTCATATCTCTTAAACTAGAAAAGATACAAAAATAGTTTAAAGCTTATCGTCGTTCATTTAAAAAATAAGCGGGCAGGTGTCTGGTACTTTTTTCAATTTCGGCCCCTTTAGGGAATAAACGGGTAAAAACTGTATTTTGGTACTTTTTTTGCACCCCATGTATCTTTTAAACCAGTGAACATTCAAACAATATTTTTGACTCCTTCATAACTTGACGAAAAAATAAAAATATAAATTTAGTACTTTTTGGTTATTCGGATGTTTAAGGGGTGAAAATTGTACCTATTTTTGGTACTTTTTTCATAAAACATTGATTTTGGTTTATTAACTTATACATATAAATACATAATAACGGGCTCCCAGTACGATGTTGCAACATTTTGGAATAGAATTTTTATTTCGTTAATGGGTAGAAAAAAAGTACCAAAAGTGGTAAAAACGGGAAATTTGATTTTATTCAAACACAATGATCCAATTTAGATAAAATTTTTAGATTTAGAAACACTAAATATGCTAATGAGGTGTTTTTTGGAACCCCGGTACCAAGTGATATTTTTTGGTACTTTTTCATTCTGTATCTGGTACTTTTTGAGTTTTCTTTGATATTGAAATCGAAACATGAAATTAATAATAAAGGGACTTTTGGTACTTTTTCGTTCTACACAGGTATTTTTTTGAGTTTTCTTTAAAATTAAACCTAGAAGCATGAAATTAAGCATGTAGAACCCGGAGTAAGTGAGAGCAGCGTTGCCACTCACAATTTATTTTTCTTACCAAAGTTCCGACAAAAAACTACCAAAACGTTCCAAAAACTACCAAATTTTTCCGTAGGGACAATTGCTTCTGTTTATAGTTCCATTATTTTCAAAACTAATATGTAATATCATACAATGATTTGTTCCAAAGAATCAATGGTTTACTTTTACGTAATTAGACAGAAATTCCAAATACTTTGGTACTATATACATAGTTATGAAATACATAATTGCAGTTTTCGACAAAATTTGTACCAAAATCATTCCCGAGAAAATAGTAATAGTATTATATTCGGCTATGACGAATCATATGTGTATATCCACTAGGGTGATCGACTCGATTTTTCAACCGGTTTTAAAACCGGTTTTTTCTCCTTTACCAGTGTCGGTTTTTTCTTAATGTTGATTTTTCGAATATCGAATAACCCGGTTTTTTCACTTTTTAAAAACCGGTTTCGAATAGTTTTATTTGCTTTGTATTCAAAGATTATTTAAATGAAATTTTTAAGTAAATAATAATACAGCCCGTCTAAATTTTAAAAATATTCGAGTCGAGGAACTAGCGTATATTTTTCTAGAGCTCCTTTGGTTAAACTATTTTGATTTTCCTAATTAATTAAAAAATATTATTTGTAAAATTGATAACTGTTTGAGAAAATGTTATCAATCTTAAGATTATATTCCAATTACAATAATTAATTTACGGCTGAAATTTTATGGAAGTGTTGGAATGCCTATGCAAATTTCCTAAAAAGAGCTTTTAAAATAAGCCAGGATTACATAGTACCTTATGTTTAACAGAAGTGTCCCTCTTTTTCCTAATTTTTTTATATTAAAGAAATAATGTAAATCAGACGACTAGATCTAAAGTTATAATCTTTTAAACTGTTAAAAATCATTTCGGGCCATGTTTTATTAATCAAATTTAAACATAA